TAAGTAGTAGCTGAATGGGAGGCTGAACATAAAGTCCAAACGGCTCTGATGTATTCAGAAATAAACTACTGCATTTCAAAGATCCACCCTGGAGACATTATGATTGAGTGAGGGGAGCACTTCAAACACATTAGTCAGCATCTAGATTTTACATACCAGCCAGGACTGAAGAGAACAGATGGTTAGACAAAGTTACCAAATCTAGTGATATTCCATGCCCTTCTATAGTGGATTCACATGGTTTTTCCTTATTTAAGTAACAATACTGTCTCACGTGGTCTATTTCTCTGTAGCACAAATTCATCAAATATGGTACTGTGATAACACAAATATTAGAACAAAAGTCAGAGAGAACATTCCAGGCAAGCTCAGGAGCCCAGATGTTTTATTTCAAATTAATAGAAAGTCCTTTTGACAGGACAAAAATGTGTCTTACAGGTTCTTCTGAGAAAACAATTAGCACCTTAGTGATTACGTCTGTGATGCTTCTGTAATAAAGTTCAACATCATGGATCTAATCCTACATTCCTTTGTATAGCCCCTCTTACGAGTCAGAAGCTGATCTGGGATGATAACAAAGTTTAAAAGCAATATACCCTCTTTAGAGGTATGTATCTGACTCTAAAAAGCCCAGTAGAGAGGAGGGTAAGGCCTGCTGGCCTAGGTATTTGTTACAGGAAGGATTCCTTGTGCAATTCTTAGGGATGTGGAGGCAAACTTTTACTCAGCGCATACAGGAAGCCTGTGTTCTCCACAACATCCTAATTCTACATTGTTTCACTTCCACGTTTTGCTCCTCTCCTTTTTTCTTTGCTGCACATGCCTCCTGTGCTCCAGCTTGCACTGAGCCAAGTAGTTGCCTCAATGGAGAAACCCAGGCATGGAGCAAAAACCAGCTCATTGCAGAGACTCTGTACTATGGACACTGCAGAAAAAGGCTGATACATGGCTGTTCTCAAAAGGAATATTCAAACACATCAGTTCTGCTCAATACTGAGGTTTTGCTAGTTAGTCCTAGAAATGCCAGAATTCAGTCATTTGAGTAAGGGGAAAAATAATCTCTAGCGTTCTCACTCTTGGGAACGGCTGTAATCACAAGATTATCCTGTTTCTATATAACAGGTGAGTGTCAGCCACTTCTCCAGCTGTGCTTTAAAATAAATTATTGATCGTCAGAAGGGCATTTGCCTGCAGGGTGCCAGGGTCTCTCATGGGATGTATTTCTTTTTGGTTAGTGATAGCCATCTTTCTATTCAGTGTGCTTAATCTTCTGGATCACCAAACATCTGACATCAACACACACTTGTTTCACAGTTTAGAGGAAAAGCACTGAAAACCACATGATACTGACCTACTAAATATACGAAGTATCTGTTACAGAACCTTATAGGCTACTACTGCAGTTCCCTGGAGTGACACTGTTTACACTGACAGCTTGATTTTGAGTTATATTGTCTTTGTTTCTGTTTCTTCAGGTAAAAGAAGCTGTGCTTTATAATATGGCAGCGATTTTCTTTTGTCCTTTATTTTTGTACTGCCTGCATTTTAGTGACTACTTACAAACTGATGCTATAATTATGGAATCAGAGAAAATAGTAATGGAGGGGACCTATTAGAATGTCTTGCCTTGCAATGTAGACTTATTGTATGAATCAGGGTTTTCAGCCACCTGTGATTTGTAGTTCCCATAAAATTTCCAGCAGAGATACAGACCTTGTAGTTTATTGTGAATTCAAGCAGACTGACAGTAAATTTGCTTTTCTTACCAGCTTTTCAAAACAGTGCTCTGTAATGTATTTTCAGGTGCTATGTCCATCCTTAGGTAAATAAACGAGGATTTGACATACCTTATAGATTTTTCTAGGTACTTTATTAGTGTTCAGTCAATCACCATAAAAATGCTGCTCTCCCTCCTTGGCTTTTTCATTGCGCAAATCCACATACCTGTCTGCCTCTCACTGCTCATCTCACTTCTTTCTATGTAAAAGTCAGAGTACTGCTCTAAACTAGTCCTCTCCAAGTCCCTCTTCTATACTGACCTTTCCTTGAAATAGGTGTCTAAAATAGATGGGATGAACTGCTCAAGATGGGTTCCTGTCTCTGTTCATTTGCTACAGGGCTAACTTCAACCAGCTGTTTAACTGTTGAAATTTAAAACTGCATGAGAGGAATCTTTCACCATCTATATGAACACTCATTCTGTTGCATATCAGTTTGGTCTGATCTTTGAGGAATGGACCCTCAGTACAGCTACACTGGCTTCGTGAACCTACGTTAACTCATGGCAGTGGTGCCAGACCCCTTGGTAGCTGTTCCCCCAATCATGTGAAGGAAATACTGTAATAAAATAATAATGCATCAAGCTTTAATTTTGCTTTGATTCACAGTGATGTCACCAATGAGATATCTTTTACTAATTTTTAAGCTTCTTCACACTGACAAGACAGATTTGCCAAAAGGGAAAATAAAATTGAACTATGACATGCTTGGGGTTGTAAGATACATGCTCTTTTTCTTTGTGTAGGAATTACAACTGTGCTGACTATGACAACAATCAACACTCATCTGCGAGAGACTTTGCCTAAAATTCCATATGTTAAAGCCATCGACATGTATCTCATGGGCTGCTTTGTGTTTGTCTTCTTGGCCTTACTTGAATACGCCTTTGTCAACTACATTTTCTTTGGAAAAGGCCCTCAAAGGCAGAAGAAACTTGCAGAAAAAACAGCAAAAGCAAACAACGATCGCTCAAAGTTTGAAGGCAATCGGGTAGGATTCTTTAATCTATATATAGGCTCTCTATTCTTTAATTACACAAGTATCTGTATGAAACAAAAAAAGCTTGCATAAAAACATCACCAACCACATAATCTTTTTGTGGACAAACTTGGGCATTTTTATATTCAAGAACCTACACAGAAGAATATATTTAGGCATACAGAAATCGAAGGAGTATGACAAGTAATTGTAAGAAGAAGAAAACAATGGGAGTGCAGCTAGCTTGAAAATAGAGGCTCAGATCTACAAAGGCATTTATTTTTCTAAATCCAATATAATTTAACTGTGATTTTGTTTAAATATCTACATAAGGCAACCCAGGATCGGAGCATACTTTTTCTCACTTCAGTTAGAGCAGACACATTTAGAATGGGAGAGAACAGACAAAGGATTAGTTCTACCATGCTAATTAATTGTCCAGCATAGCTGAACCCCTGTGTGTAGCATTGTCATCTGCTGCTGTTTAAGACCAGCAGAAAATTATGATTCTGAGAGAAACTTTTGGATTTACTTCTGAAGCACAATACTAGCATGGTCTGTGCTGGTTGCACTTGAGTCTGTTCCCTTGCCTGGAGTATTACTTCATCCAATGAATGCCCTTTTTTTCCCCTTTGGAAGAAAAATTCGAAGTATTTAACATTATATGATGTTAGCAAAACATGTCAGTTTGAATAGAACATGGGGTTTTTTTTGGCTAAAATGCTCCCAGGGAGGCTTCTTTTTTCAGTTCCATTGAGTAAGATCATTTTTTCTATGAGCAATAAATTAGAAGAGTTCACAGTGACAAAACTACTACCTGTTTATGAAATACCAGTATCATAAAAGTAATTTCAAGCTGTATGTTTTGATCCTAATGATTCTGTCTGCTATAGTAAATGTAGTGCAGAACTGCACCGAATTATTGACATTCATATCTGTGAATTAATTTTTGAATCAATAAACTCATTTTTGTCCACTGTATTATGAAACCAAATTCTCATCACAGTTGGCAGCACTGCTTAGGACTAGGACAGCAAGAAGAATGAATTCTCTTTCCTTGAAAAATAAATAGTCATAATAATAATAAAAAAGCAGATGGAGGGAAAAAAGTATCAAGAGAATTCAAGAGAATTGAAAGAAATTGAGAAGGTTTTAGCTCTGAGAATGTAATGCAGATGTGTACACTAAGGTTCAGTTCTCCCAATGGAAACCATCTGGTGAATCTTATCCATTTAAATGATTTACATAATTCAGTACAAGTCTTGTTAATGGGCCCAACAGCACCCCGTGCCTGACTGTTTTTCTACCTTGAGATCAATTGGTCTATATTGTCGTAAGTATCTTAAGAAAACCAGAGGATATCATACCCAGATCATGCCATTTTTATATCCCAGATTTGATCATACCATATATCAACCTTTTTTTGCTCACTTCTGACTTACAACCCTTATAACTTTTTCTTTCTGGTCTATCCTAAGCAAATGTCATGGACTCTTCTGACTTTTCTGCTAGTTTAATATCAACCATGCAGGAAAGAAATTAGGAAAGAAATTCAGCACACCAGAGCTGAAAGAAGAGTTTGTTACTTGTTTGCCGTGGAGTCCCTGCTGTGAAAGGGAACTCTGTATGCTTTATAGCAATGTATATACTCATACTGACTATGAATATGTGCTGTTCAATTGACATAGGATAAATAAAGAGGTATGATCCCATGCTGTATAGAAAACATTTTGTCTCCAGGCCTCAGATGGTGAAGTCAACACAGCTTCATTGCTGTTACTGGATTCAGTGCTTTCAGAGAAGCAGTTGCAGCATACAACAGGAAAAGGCAGAAACTTTAGATACAGCTGATCAGAAATCTTCCTTTGAAAAAAGCATAGACAGAAAATGCAGATTTAGTGGATGCAGGATGTCAGTTCTGGATTTCTCATTTGAGAAACCCTGCCAAATGCAAAGCAGAGGGAATTGACCAGAGCAAGTAAGAGGTCCTGTTGCTTTCAGGATGAGCAGCTCAGGGAAAATCCATCTAGCAGATCTACATTGGACAAAGTTTACCAGAGCTTCCAGGCACCACAGCCCTAAAGCAGGAAAATTGTTTCCATGGTAAGGCGCTGGAACAGGTTGATCAAAGAAGATGGTAAATGCTCCCTGACGATGGTAGATGATCCCTGGCAATGTTCAAGGCCAGGTTGGACAGAGCCTTGGGCAGTATGGTCTAGGGTGAGGCATCCCTGCCCATGGCAGGGGGATTGGAACTAGATGATCTTCAGGTCCTTTCCAACCCTAACTATTCTATGAATCTGCGATTCTATGTCCACCGTGCTGTACAGATGACCATAAATACAGCAGGACAAGTGGTCATGCCAGAGTTTTTAACATACTTGCCATGGAAGACAATACTTGAAAGCTCTGCAAGCTTTGCTCTGACCTCTGCAAGTCAGCAAAGAGGCATTAACTTCCAACCTCTCCTTTGGTGCTCTTGAAGATCATTGGGTCTGATGGAAGTGATGGCTGATTGGCAGTTGCTTTCTTCTTGTTTTAGAGTTTGGGCTCAGGGGCTGAAGGTCCTGGGAGAGGCTCACAAACTGGAGGGCACACTGCGTAGTGAGGAAGGCTTAGAGCCATGAAGACAACTTTGCACAAGTTCTAGAAAATTACAGTTTTTGTAATTTTGGTGAGGCTTCGGGCTTCCATGGAGTGTATTTCCATTCAGAACAGGAAGATTTATAATCGTGGGAAATATTTCAAATCTCACATGATTTGAGGCTAAGCAACATTTTGAAAGAAAGGGAGAATGCCTAAAACCAGGCAGCCTCCTTTGCAGCTATCATCACCACTATTTGACGACTATCAAAATGTGCTGTGCTAGAAAGAAGATTGAAAAGGGTTCAAATATAAAACTGGAATAAGGCATTATTTTTAGTCTGTCTCTAAGACTACCATTTTGGGTTGATTTCTATTGCTGTTTTGTATTAGTAATTGAATTTGCTTGTATATGAACCATGTGCATGAGCTCTCTGTCACTGATTTAGGGTGCTAGCTCAGGGCACTAGCAAAAAACCCCAGACTAAACCAAATAAATAAATAAACATTAGACCATTTGTTGTCCACATCAGATGCTGTAACTTGTGGGCGTTGTGATAGAACTGTGAACTGTGCTGTACCAAGTCCAACCTAAGTGAAGAGGAGCTGCAGTGCTGTGGAAATTGCTTGTTTGTGGTGGGCAGCAGCACTAGCAGAGCAGAGGCAGCACAACATAGTGCCTTGTGTACAGGCCCTGAGTTCAAGAATTGCTCTTATGGTGTAAGACTGGGAGTGCTGCTGAGGCAGTGTCTCTTTCTCAAGCAAAGGGAACAAGAGAAGGATGAGGGAAAATGCCACATTATTTTCATTCAGGAGGATTTTAGCCCCTGGAAACCAGTAGAACCAGCATGGATACTGGTATTGTAGTTTATGTTTTACATGTCAGAAGACTGAAGTCTGGAGTACAAGCTAGCAGGCTTGGTTATAAATATTCCTTTTATAGCGGCAAAAGCTTTTTACGCTTTCTTAGTCTTATTTGGTTGTAGAGCAGGAGAATTTTAGTAACAAAGATGTTCTAGGCCACAAAATTCACAGATGTGGATATGTTTCTGTTTTATTTGATAATTGCTTTGCAAACAGCCACTCGATGCTCAGTAACTCTGCTTCCTAATACATGCATTTGCATTGTCCTGCGTCAGAGGTTATGGGTTTGAAAAGCCAGAACTGGCACAGCAGTCTCCATGTTGCTGCTGCAGCTATGGACATGCCTCTCCAGTGCCAAGTTTTTAGGCACTTCTCTCTGAGTTATTCCTGATCCACCGCCACTGAGGCTTGCTGTGTTGAGGAGAGCTCCACCAGCTGCTGCTGCTGAGCTGCCCATTGGCTTCACTGCTCCCGTTATGGCTTTCTGTCCAGCTCTGCCCATGTGATAAAGCCAATGAGCCCAGTAGCTCCAGGCATAAGGGAA